ATTGATTCACCTAATAAATTGTTAATTAAATTCATTACAAACACACACACACACAAATAATAAATTTTATAACAACAAAAAAATTCTTGCGGTCTTATATGTAAGATAAGACGATTATTGATTCTTGATTTCTTCAATAAAGAACAAACGAAGAAAAATTCACACGCATGTATATGACATTCGCGGCGAATTGATAGCTGTCACGATGCATCGCAGCGTGCACTTTTGAAACTGCAGCCCTTCGACACCGGGACGTCGAAGCGAGCCGACTGCTAGACCGCGCGATAAATCGACCGTCGTGTAACCAGAGCGTTTACCTAACTATCCGCGTCCCTTGTATATATATATCGCCTCGACGGGCTAACACGTCGTACCTCTCGGGACTTTAATAAGCGTAACCGTTGGGGATTAAGCAAGCGGGTGCGGAGCGGCCAGGATTGTAGGGAAGGAGAGAAGCCAGAATCTACGAGGGGTCATACAGACGAGAGACGGCCTGAGAGAGAGAGAAAACTGACGCCGAGAGGAGAGCCGGTGCAGCTGCAGCTGCAACGGTAACTTTGCAGAAACGACTTCGCGCCGTAGCTCAAACGAAACGGATAAAGCCCGTTTGGAAGTCGTACGAAGGAGTCGTCGGGCATTTTGCGACAATGATGAAAGCGTAAGAAGGCGAGGACACTGACAAAAATCCATGTACTTTTACATGGAAATTATTAGGTCAGAACAGGAAAAGTTATTACTTGCTCTTATCACTGTAATTTTTTTTCCATTTGTTTTAAAGTGAAAATACATGTAAAATTATTATTTTTATGCAAAAATCATATGTAATTTTAAATTTACTATTTTTTACTTTATTAGAATTTTATTTTATAAGCATTTATACCTAACATTTCCTATGTGTAATTACATGTTCAGCGAAATATTTTTAATCTTGAAAATATTTAAGAATATATTTCGTACGAAATTACATATATAATCTGTAATCTTCCATGTAAGTATCAATATTGCACGATTATGCTCGGTCGGAAAAAACCTAGCTTAATTATGTAAATATTTTTTTCAGTGGATAATGGGGAGATTACAATGGGCAAGAAGCAAGGCCAGGATCTCTGGCCGGCGAACCGTAAAATCCTCTTCTTTGATTCTCTCTCTTTCTCGACGTCAGTTTTCGATGCATCCTCGCGCGGCCGACTCGCGGCGGATAATAATACCGCGAAATTACGCCGCGGATGCCCGAGAGAGTTCGCAAAAGAAGGGAAATAAAATCAGCATAAAACGAGAGAGAGAGCCGCCAAATGGCGCGACCTCGGCACGCCGGGGCCTTCTAATGAAAGCGTCGAGGAGTAGAAGAGACGGCGGTGGTGGCCCTTAAATTAATTCACGATGAATTACGTCCGCGCCAGCTGCGAGGGCAGTTGTGTTTATTTATGGAGGAACTAAGATCTTCTTCTCTCCCAGTCCTTAAACGCGGGATTCCGCCCTTATAATTTCTCACGATGACCGAGGAAGGCGGGCTCCGACTCTCCGTCATTCGAGACTCGTCGAGAGAGAAGGAGAGAGGCGATAATCGTTCCGGAAACGACGATTTTCTCCGACGAAATAAGAGCGGACACGCTCGTCTACAGTCTGGCATGCCACGGCGGCGTGTCGCAAACGAGCACGATTTGGGACTCCGGGGGAAAAAGCGTCATGATTTTTTTTTCTCCCTCGGGCTTTTTTTTTTGCCCCAGTCACACCGGAGAGAGCGACCATTCATTGGCTCTCGCGAGGACGCTTGAGGACGCACTGGATTTTTTTTTTTTTTCGTCTATTTCGACGTAGGTTGCAGTGTGACGAATGTGGCACGTCGCGAATTATATCGAACGCAATGGACCATCGGTTAATTGAAGGGCTCCCCAGGAAAAAAAAGGTTCGCCAGACGCAATATTTTAGATTTTAGAGCGAAGTAAATATTCGATGATGAAAAAAAAGAATTAATGAGTGGTTCTCGTCAAATATCATGTGGCTTATCCATTGGATATTTTAGAACCGTTTCAGCCCGACATATTTTTAACATCATCATTAGTTTGAAACCATGAACGTGTTTTAGAGTAGAGAAACTTTGTGTAACGGTTTGTATTTTGAAACTCGATAGGATAGCGAAAGGATTAACTTTCTCCTCGTGGTTTCTCTTCGCGTGAAAAAAAAAAGTTTACTCGGCTTGTTTAAGAGTAATTAGGCGATGTGATCGGAGCAATTATGGTTGGACAAATCGATTGAGAAACACGGGAACGAAAATTTATTTTGAAAGGGATTTAAACGTGTCCCTGCGAGAGAGCTGTCAGCGAGTACCGAAAACGAGTGAACCGCGACGCGTAACGAGATGCAATTTCGATTGTCATAAAACTCGAAAATCGTGCGCTCACGGGAATGCTCGATTTATTTAGCAAGTGAACACACAACACTAAACGTAGCGCGAGCGATTTTATTATTTTTCCGCGGTCGTTCTGGATTCTGAAAACAGCATCAAGATTCGAGAGAAGATGGCATTAGAATGGCTTATTTTAACTATTCGCTCTTACGACGTTTCTCATTGCTGTAACATTAAATATAATTAGAGAAATTACGCAAAAGCGAATGCACCGATAGCAATTGAAATATAAAAACTCTCTTACAATAATTGAAAAAATCTGTCGATACGGAACATAAGAGCATGCTCTCTCTCTATATGCTAGAAATATAAAAATATAATTATCTCTTTTTCTCTCTCCCTTTTCACTCTCTACTTCTCTCTCTAGTATTCTTTCTCTAGCACTCGTTCGAAGCAACCTCAGATCAGAAGGAGACCTATCGAACATTTATATTGATTATTTTGTTCACACGGCAATTAGATATCTGTGCTTGATTGTGATCGATAAAGTTTTTTATTCGTTATTTTATTTATCATGTTTTTTTTTTGATTGATTTGCTCATAATAATTTACTCATTTATAATTTGTTATGTGATATATAAACTTTTGGACGATTTGGTGTACGTCGCTTATTTTTATTAATTTTATTTTATTTTAGCATCACACATGTTTATAAAAGAAAATTAATTCATCGACATATTCTTAAAAATTGTATACTCATGAACAGTGTTGGCGCAAATTATTAAAACTTCCAAGTGTTTATAGTGTTATAAATATAGATTAGTTTGATATGCAAAAATAAATTTATTGTCTTATCATTGAGTCGATCATCAGAAAAAAATTATATTTCCCTAGTTTAATTTTGTTTCCTTAGTATTAAAAAATTATTTTAAAACTGTCACTCGCCAAAATTGCCGATCTTTATTAAAAATATGAAGATTTTTATTATTTTTTTCATTTTACGAATTTAAAAAATATAATTCTTACAACAGAGTCTTAATGTATCTTTCAAGTCTAGTTTAAATTGAGAGCTTTATGACCGACAGTTGCTATTAAAGTTCTCAAGTGTAAATACCTCTTGAAATTTATTTTAAACTGAAAGAAAGTTCTAATATCAAAAGCCCGTTCTCGAAAGCAAAACTCTCGAAACAGTCATTGAAAAGTCTTCATTCCGTTGCTAGCATTTTGATATTGAGAATCACATTCAGAAAAGTAGAGCTCTCTTGGAATAAACATTTCTCGAAAGTCATACTTGATTCCATGCTGATTTGGAGAGAGAAGAAAGAGTTTTATTATCGAAAATTCTATTATATTTAGAGCACCATAAAAATTATTCACATAAGAGGAATAATATTATAAAGAGAAAGAGAAAGAGAAAGAAAAAGACAAAAAACTTTGCAGAAGAGCATATATAGGTACCGATCGCGATCGAAGACGTGCGGCGAACATTTTCCGGTCGCAATCGATCGATCCGAAATCGAGAGCATCCGGCAAGATTGGAGACGACATCCGGCGCCTTATTCAAGTAAAACTCGTTTAACGCTCTCGATACTCGTTTGAATCGCGATACGTATCTCATCTATCACACTAGAGATCGTTAAAAGACTATTTACGGAAGGCTCATACGCGATTAAAGAAAGTGATATAGTAATTAAAGGGGGTGGGGGAGGGAGGGGGAGAGAAAAGATGGCACGAACGTGTTAGTTACCCTGACGTGTCAGTATGCACACATATACACATGCGAGCGTGTTCGTATATGATATACACGTACATATATATACACATATCACGCAGCTTATTGCCAACGAAGCTGAAGTAGTTACGCATCTTCGATTCGCGTGAATATTATCTTCACTTCGAAATATATCTCCTTGTCGCTCTCGTAGTCTATCTACTTTTTTGGCCTCTACCATCGCTTATTTCTCTTTCCTGTTTCTTGCACATTTCTTTTATAATATCATAACCCATCGCGCAATCATCTAGACGTTGTCTATATTCGCAAAATGAAATGTCTTTAATCCGATCATTCATGATTCGATTATTTCGCTATTTCATTCTTCATATTCTTCTACGTAACAAAAATAGAAGACTCAATTTTATGTAAAATATGGAATATAATTCGATAATTATTAATCTAATTAATCTCAGTTTATTAATACTAATCCGATGGTATCAAATAAAACGAGAGGTTCTAGTAGGTATTCTTGCACAAGATTTACGCTGCTTAATATTGATGCATACACAGTAGAAAAATTTGTGTTTTCTTGTTAAAAACAGTCCCCGTTAAAAATTTTGTTTTAAATATTTAACACATTCATGTGTTAATTTAACATATTACTGTTCTGTTAATGGAACTTAAATGTTAAATTATTAAAATAACTGGAAAAATATTATAAAAATAACACAATGTGGATCTATTTTTAATTTTACACAATATATTCTGCTTTATTCTGCTTTATAAGTGATAAGATTTATTTGTTAAAATTTTCAGGAAAAAATGTTAATTTTCTATTTTATAATATAAGTAGGGATTTTTCGTTTATTTTTACATTAAAAGTATGTTAATTTTACACAAAATTTATTTGAAGTTTTGCATTTATTTTTTGTTAAAATATTAACACACTACTTGTGTCTCCATTTAACATATTATGTTAAATTAACACCAACATTTCTGTGGATTGTTTGGGACATGTGAAATCTGTTGAATTTAACAGAAATTTTTCAACTGTGTAGGAATAAAAATAATCTAGGACATTATTTCGATAAAAGTTCAATAATAGTATCGAAAATAGAACTGACCTTAAGTATACCGAATTTGACCCCTGAATTTAATTAATTTAGCACTCACCGATCGGTTCTTCGATCCAAGTATATCACCAAGTACAACGATCAAGATACACAAGATCCCGCGATGTAAATTCCTGTCTTCGGACCCACGTGGTTCATCCCTTCCGCGAGCTTCCGATCCATTGATATTAAGTCTATGAATTACGAATAAGCCACTCAGGGAAGACGATACATCGTCGGCGGCGGCAGCGGCGATTTAAGCCCATTCGAAGTTGCTTTTGCTGCGAGCTGCTTGAACACCCAATGTAGATTGAAGCTTTCGTTTCGCGAAGCCGACTACCGGGCATAAAGTTCGCAACGTAACGTATGATTCACTTTATCACGCGACTTTATCTTACTGATCAGATAGGATCAAACCAATTTGCTTTGAAAATGGCATCGGATCTCTCTCTCTTGAAAATCCGAGTGCTCAGCCGATGATAAAGGGCGTTGGACAAACATATTTCTCTTCCACGCGAAACTCGCTGCAGCATTGCAGTGACCTGCAATATAGAAACAACTTCGGATTTCGAGCGGGCGTTTTCCCATCCCTGAACGTTGATCGCAGAACCTTCGTCCTCGAAAGTGAGGATTACGCTCGAAAAATCGCGCCACCACAAAAAGACCGACGTGCGATCGCGAGCACCAACTTGGCGCGTGCCTGGTCCTTTGAAAATTCCCCGACTCTCTCCTCCGTTTTTCTCATCACCATCATCACCACCACCACCACCACCATCCGCGACAAACGATCATCAGCGGGACCAGCGGTGACAGGACGATGGACAGCCCACGTCGATGGGAATCGGCGGCCGAATTGACGTTAATGGCCGGTCGTTTTTTGCCGACGCGGACCGTCGACGACGGCGTGACGGGCGACGGATAACCCACGTGACCGTGAACCGTGTTGTCCACCGCCAGCGGCTTGTTCTCCGTCTTGTCCACCTCCGCCGAGCCGTAAACCACTTCGTCCTCCTCGTCGTAGAACGGCGGCCACGCAGTTTGCGTCTTCGTCGGGCCAGAGATTTCTGAACAAAGACAACTTGATGCTTAAGATATGCAGAATCATATATGATTAGGAAAATTAATAATTCATAATAATTAGTAATTTATATTAATTTCCTCGATTATAGAGATTACCGATAGAAATAATTAAGGAATTATTGAATAGTCGACCAAACTAGCAAAAATTAAATTAAACTTTACAACGTTTCGACCATGTGGTTGTGGTCCTTAACAAGTGGAAACAAAATAAATTCAGGTACAATAAAATATCATTATGACAAAAATTAACCCTTTACAAAATGTAGATCACATAAGTCAAAAAATTTTTTAAATTTTAAAAAGCGAGAGACAGCAATTAACATATTGATCGTTACAATATACTGTGACGATCCTCGTTTGGGATATTTTAATTGCTGTCTCTCGCTTTTTAAATTAATAATTTTTGTCATAATGATATTTTATTGTAACTAAATTTATCTTGTTTCCACTTGATAAGAACAACCACAGGGTCGAAATGTCGTGAAGTTTAATAAACTTATATTTTGCTAATTTGGTCGACTATTCAATAATTCCTATTTTACTGATTAGCGAATCCAAATAATTATTAAGACTTGAGAAATAATTACTTAATATGACAATCGAAAATGTATCTATAATTTATGGGATCAACGTTCATAATATTTTGACATCTTCAACTAAAGAAAAGAATAAGGGCATTGTACTGTTAAAAAAAGTAACAAGATCGCGAATTTATTGGCGCTTATCTGGGAATTCTGATTATGTTACAAACTTTCTCGAGAATCTCTTGAATAAAGGATAGAAGTTGAAGCCACGGGGCATTTGAAGATAAGATAACTCGACGTATGCGTTTTTATGAAAAAGAATTTAATACAGAATGGAAGTGGACACGTGCGTACACTCGTGTATACAATATGTTTTCTAAAGTTTTTCTCGAAGCTTGAGAAAAAGTATCTTCCGGTGAGCGACTTTGAGAATATTGTTCTTCGATAAAGATTGATCGCATTTTTTTTACCAATAAAAAACGAATTAAAAATTTTCAAATATTATATAAAAATTCTAACATATAGAAAACATAAATATATGTATATAATATGCGCTATTTCTTGTATACCATCACTCTTAAATTCACATAGGCAAATATGTCGTCCGCCGCATCCTTCGAAATCGATGGATCGATAACACGCGACGATTTGCGAAACGCGAAGAGCAACACTGCATTCGCCAAATCTTATCTCTCGGGGGAGGCTGCTAGCCGAGAAATTCGCGCGACCGAAAGATGTCCGATATAGAAGCAGATCCTCGGGAAGGTTTCCGTCCGCAAAGTGACAATGCTTGTAAACGCGAGGCGTGTGTTTGTCGTAGAGGAAGAAGAGAGGAAAGGAAGAAGAAACCCTCTTATTCCTATATCATCTCGCAATCAGTCGGGAGATGTCAAGGCACGAAAGGATTTATCGTCGGCTCGACGACTGAAACCCGAGCAACGATTTTCACGTCAAGCTATGTGTTGGCACTGTGAGAGGACTCGTTAACCTTCTCGCGACCCGCCGCATTAATGTAGGAATAACAGGTCGTACGCGAGAGAGAGAGCAAATTCCCAACCTTCTCTTTCCACCCTTGCGAGATGCTGTTCGGTGTAACCGAGCTGCAACGCGCGGCAAAAAGTCGTTTCCGCGCCATAATTTTGTTTGCTGCGAATAGTCGAGAGCCTTGTTATCCGGACGTATTTAAGATCGCTTCGTTCGCAGCCACGCAGCGACGTGCGGAATGTTTTGCAAGGTGCGGTAACGTAATTCGGAAACGTACTTCTGTAAGGAAATCCCGGTGTCTCGTGCTCTTCTTTAACGAAACTGAAATCCGGTCATAATTGGCAAAAGCTACTTAAATATCGGGAATCGAAAAAAGTTGGCAAATCAAACTTGTGACAAATTTATACATCCGAACTACATTTTTTAACTTAATGCTATAAATAAATTTCACTTATCTCTATGCGATTTTATAGCTGTCAAGAGAATTTGAAATTTTGATGAAAATTGTGTTTATGTATATTTGTTGCGAATAGCTGCATGTAAATCTGATTGTCAAATTCGCGTAGCGGGTAGCTCCCGCGGAGCAATGCTATTCCAAAGAAACTCAGTTGTTATCAGCTGTAACGTGCAGAAAATTAATCCCGGCGGGCTACTTATAAGTACAATAATTCATTCACAGTTTACAGAGCAAACCTCTCACCGTCGACCTCTCTCGTGCAATTATCTACGGATCTATTTGCAGGTTTTATTTCACGGTACGAATCTTAATCCTAGCGTTACGACTATCTGAAGGAACAAAAAGAAGGAAAGAGAAAGAGAGAGAGAGAGAGAAGATAAAAAAAACATATAGTAGGAAAAGAAGTGGGATTATTCGCGAATGTACACGTGTACATATCTACATCAGTGAAATGCGGCGCGGATAAAACGCTATTCTCCCCCGCGTTTTAGACTTGCGTTTCGTCGAATAATCGAATTAGGTATTCTTTATGGGGTTCTCCCGGAAAACTTCGTTTGATAACGGTCGAAAACGCGCTGTGTACTCACCGTATAATCGAATACTGCTCTCGACCTCGCCGAGGGAATTTTTGGCCGCGCACCGGTACGTTCCCACGTCCTGTTTCTGCAGGTTCCGGATGGTGAGGATCATCCGGACCTCGAACGGTGACTTCGGGACCGTTTGCACGTCGTGTCTGACGCTGGTTATTATCATCGCACCTTGGGAACAAAAGCAAAGAGCATACTTAATTATTCCATCGTGATCCGATGGTTAGGAAATTGCGCGTTATTTCTCTTCGAGAATGCTGCTTGCGAGCACCCGGCATTTTTTCTCGATTAATTTTATGCGACACAAAAAATCTTCATTATGAATTTTGCTGAAAAATGCGGAGTGTTTTATTCCAACGCAGGAAAAGGGAGACCGAAACTGGAAATAGATATACAAACTCCTCTCGTATAAATATTCGCGTAAAATACACAAATTATAAAATTATAATCTCTCTCTCTCTCTCTATATATATATATATATATATATTTTTCCGATGCAATCGTGTCACACATTTTTTAATTTGACGGATCTCGCAAATCTCGTTCCGGGGTTCGAATATAATTATTCCATTCACTTGTTTCAATAAAAATTGTTTCAACAATTTATATAATATATATCAATTATTATATACACATTTGTTGAATTATTTCAATTAAATTCTGAAATATTTTCACGCTATGCATAGTAAGCAGTTGAAGGTAAGAGGTTACGTCTCTTGCCATAAATAAGACATCTCGCCCGTTTCCTGCTATGCTTTCTTATTACATGTTGAAACAGTTGCATATAATGGGAAACAAGTGAAAGGTATCTTCCACGCGAGACGAAATTGCATACGAATGCATTGGAGCGAGGAACCCCCGGATAGCTGAGCGTGTGTTAAACTGGGAGGACGTCTGGCTCTTGCGAGGCGAAATCCACTGCGAGGATATTTCCGCGAGTCTGGAGAGAGATAAGTAGTATTCTCTCTCTTATGTCTATCTAAAGTTTTCTTGACGAATTCTGAATCAAGGTGTATTATTATACGCCGTCGCGATATATATATATATATATATATATATATATATATATATGTAATTGTGCTTTTCGTTGACATATTATGCGTGATTTATACGGCACAGAAATAGTTGGCATTTTATCAATATATAGCTGGAAAAAAATGAGAACAAGTTGATTGCTCTTATGTTGAGTGAGAGAATTTTTAGATTTTATACAAAAAAAAGAAAGAAGGAATAATTAAATTATCATCTTTTTCATTCATACGAATTTAGAACATGTTTCCAATTACACAAATATTTCTGGAAGCTGATAATACTCCAATGCATCGTCTAATATCGGAATCACCTAAACTAAAATACGGTCTATAATCGGATTTGTCATGCGAGAGTAATTAACGTTGGAGCATTTCTCCGTTAGTTATAGTCGGTAATTAGTTAACAAGCCAATCGCTGTAACGGACTGTACTACTTGTGGTAACAATGTGCTAGCCAAACGCAGATATATATATATATATATAGATTACATTCGCATATATACGTACGAGTTGAAAGATATTCCATAAATTATACTTATTGCATTTCAACGATAATTTTGTTTTGCGTGAAAGTGAAAATTGTAACGTAAATTAATTATTATTACAATTAATTAATATATTTTGTGAATGAAAAAAAGAAAAGAGAACTGAGTTATTAATGTAATTTGAAATATATATTAGAATATTTAATTGATAAATAATAGTATTATATGTACATATGGATCGAGATTAAAAATTAAAAAGTACGGAGGATTTATAAGCTTTAAAGTTACGTTTATTTTTATTAGATTGTCATAATTATTCACATAAATTGATTTATTTTAAATTGTATTTTGATTTCCTTCAATATCTTAGTAATTGCATTTTATTTCGTATAATTCAGGAAATATAATCAAAGAAATCAAATTATCGGTATTATATTGTGAATAATCAAATATTTATATCTCGTACAATAATATATTTATTTTCTTTCTCTTTTATTTCTTTAAATAAGCTTTCTTGTATAAATTTTTTCCTATCCATTAAGTGTCCTTAATGGATATACTTAAAACTACTGAGATATTGATAGCAATCGGATTGCAATTTATATACAATTTTAGAACCAATCTATACGGAATAATTACGGTCTGATAAACATATAATAAATTGATAAAATATTTCCAATATAAGCAATAATAAAGAATGTGCCCATACGGACAATATATTTTAAATTATAAAATTGATAAACATTGATGAAATTTTTCAAATACGATGATTACGTAATATATTGCGTTAAAACATCATTCGCGGAACAATAGTGCGTGTTTTTTTTTTAAGCGAATATTATCTCACCCTTCGGGTCCTTGACCCAGTAATTAATCGACATTGGGGACGCCTCAACGAAACATTCTAGGACCACGTCGGTCGCCAAAGGCGCGCCGACCAGCTGATTGGGCACGTGAATCACCGGCGGAACTGTAAATCGAAATTGGAAGATATGCGTTGCATTTGTTGGAGTTTCTTGGCATAAGAGGAATCGAGATACACGCGATACCCGGTCCAACGATTTGGACGGCAAACACTATTACTCACAATGTACGTTGATATAAATACGTTTGCTGACCGCGGGCGGAATCCCGTTGCTGGCGATGCACAGATAAACCCCCATCTCGTTTCTCGAGATCTTCGTCAGCTTCAGCTCCTCGCCCAAAAACTCGGACATCGGAGACACTGGGAACAGTGTACGTTTGAACCGAGTATATTCGATATATAGATCGTGCGCGCGCAGTACTCTCGACCGTACTTGAAATTATAAGATTTCTTTACTTAATACAACAAAGTAAGAGTTCTATTTTGAAATTCAATCGACTTAATTTATTGATTCATGTGCGCGATTTATTTTTGTATTTTTAAATAGCGTAAATAATTTAATAAAAAAAATCTCTGTTCTCCATAGTTATTTTCTGCAAATCGGGCTATAAATTATTATTTATATACATTAAAATTACTTAATATTACTTTATTTTCTTCAAAATGTAATTATACGAGCAAAGTTTTATTAGATATGATAAAGTGAAAAAATTATTTAGTGATTAATGAAGATGTGATTATTTTGTCGAGAAAGCTAATGATTGGATAGAATAAAGTTGAATACTTGAAAAGTTAATAAACTTGAAAGAGGGAGAACGCACTTTCTGGCTTTATCAAAGTTAATTTTTTTCCTAACAATTGCATAATAATTATACTAACTCGATCGTTTATTTTTTATGACAGAAACATTAACTGACAAGTTATTGTTTTTGTAATTCAATGGAGGGCAACCATTAAATATAGAAGAATGAAAAAAGAATGTAGAGCGAACAAGCTATTATAAAAACAGACGATGATCAATAAAATAACAAACGCGCTTAATGATATTATATTCGCGCATTTAATTACCAATATTTTGTTGTAAAATATATAATATACGTAACATTTCGCATGCTACACTTTTAATACGAATTCGTATTTACGATTTATAAAGTTATTTATATCTTGAAAAAAAGAATTAAAAAATGGTATGTATACTTTTTGCATGAAATTTGAGGCGCATATTCGTAATGGCTTGGTATAAATTAATGAAAACAAGCAATTTGACTAAGTGACTCGGTATATTATATACTGACGAGTGTTTTCAAATGCAAACAACACGAAGCGGAGCACGCGAATAAGACGTGCGCAATTTATTGCACCTGCAACTATTCCCTGCCGCGAAATATCGTAAACAAACGCACGAACTCTCTTCTCACCTGCGACCTCGTTACATTACGTTGCAATTTAACTCGTAAACTTTCTCAAAGATTCTCCGTCTACCGTGTATATTTTTTTTACCCGGCCCTATTAATTACGCGAAACCAATACGAGTGTTCTACGTTCTGTTCGCGTCCTACGCTGCGCTGTGAACTTACTCGAAGTATCGTAAAGTATCAAGGAACGAAACGACTTATTATTCCTTAAGTAATATTTTATTCTTTGTTCATACTTGGAAATTACTTTTCCGAAAATAATATTTTGGGGCAAAGAAGAAATTGAACGATGGGAGATCGATTAAACGCAGATGAAATAAAGCAGCTATACTTTTAGAAAACGCGTTACATTTGATAGATATTATCCGAAATAATTCCAAAAAAAATGTATAATGATGATGAGTTTTAAATAACGAATTCGAAAAATAATAGAATTTATAGGACGAGCAAATTACACAATTCTTAGCGTTGTTACCGCTTTCGTTCCTTTATTTTTTTTTCGCATTTTAATACGAAATGTCCGCGTCATTAGACGGTGGTCGCGAAACCGGTAGACTCTTCCGGCATGACTTTGATAATCACTGCGATTGTAATGCCGACAATAAGCCGTAGAGTCGGGTCGCCCGGAGATGCAAGATCGCGCCCGGTATATATGCTGCATCCATCGGTTGCAACGGCATGCATCCTTGCTTTAGACCGCGTCGACAGTGCGGCGAAATTTGCCTGCTATTAGTAACACCATACGCTGAAGTGAATACTAAATATATCGTTTAACTGGGACTGGCAAGACGGCTGAGAGAGCAAAGCGGGATGGTTCGCGAGTCCGGATCAACACGTCTGACTATTTTACATTCGAACTACTTGAAGGGATCCGCAGTGACTTTGTTCCACCGGACGAAATTTTCACGCAAATGTATATAATTCAATTTGTTATATTTGTTTGATATAAAGAACTAAGTTTTCCAATTGGTTGAAAGTTAAAGAATTGATATCATCAAACAAATTTTAATGAATAGAAATAGAAAACTTGTTAATTAAACCAGTCGAAAAAATACAAATTCTCGATAAATTGCGAAACGTTCATTCCAACGCTAATTATTACGAAGAAAAAAGAAACACGGAAGATAGACGGCGCGTGTTCCACATAATTGGGCCAATATTAAATTCGACATTACGACTTAACGATCCGTGGAATGTCGACGGCGCGGCCGGCCATTCAGCAGAAGTCGCACCAGCGAGGGCTGCATCATCTCAAGGAGCATCAGCGGAATCGGTTTCCGGGGCGAAATTCGTCTTAAAGTACGGAAACGGCGGTTCTTAATGAGGGAATTTGAATACTAACGGGATCCCCGCGGGAGCAGCGCGGTATGCGCGCGCGCTTAAGGAAAACATAATTGTATATTCCGCGTTTCTATATCGGCGAAACGGTGCGGTACGGCGAGGGCGTGCCATCTATATTAAATCTTACCTTGAGACTTCTGGTTCGGGGCGCTTCCTGCAAATGGCTCCCGAATTATAATGTTCCTGCCGTCTTCTCGGCGCCAGGATACGCGCGGCTCGGGTACGCCTCTCGCCCGGCACGTTAACTTCACCTGTACGTGTTATGAAACCGGAATTATAAAGAGAAGCGAGTTCGTTATTGCACTCCACTCTAATGCCATGCTTCACCAAAATATATATTTGGAAATATAAACGAGGGAGAGAGAGAGAGAGATGCGCGCAATCTCCGTCTCTCTATGTAAAACACGTACGCGCTAGGGACGTTTGTCCGAAACAATGGCGGCTCGCGCGGATATTCGAGCGGAAAACGAATCTATGGTCGCGAGGGGCATGAAATATCCGGCATTGGGATTTTTTTTTTTTTTTTTTTTTTTTTTTTTTTTAGACGGTTATTAGCTCCGCCGCGTGCGCTCGCAACACGGCCAATTTTATCGAAACCTTCTCGAATTCTCGTTAACGGATGTTCAGTTTAACCATATTTTTGCTTCTGGGCGGCCTAAATAATCGAACGAATATCGAGCTATTTTGGGATGAATGACGTCAGATACTATATGAAATCGGCTTGATTTTACAGAATTTGTCGTCGCGGCGTGTTTCTATAGATTCGCGAGATCGATTATGAATATATATCGGCTCGATTCTCATCAGTTACCGAGTTATGGATGTTCGAAATGAACGCAAAGGGATGGGTGGAGTTGCGAGTTGCGAAACACGTACGCGGGAATGAATATCTGTGTGTTCTACAATGGAAAATATAAACGGCGTGTTGACAATTAACGACACGACACGTGTCGCAGCATACTGCACTGTTTGTTGGCCTGCATTCTACTGACACGTTGCCTGTTGGTTTGCAATATCTGTGACGTTTTTAGATGAATATCGTGTTAGCACGATTTCGAGGTGTAATGCAAGTTATTGCATACATATCGTATAGTTTGCATAGCTTCAAAAAAACAGAAAGTAACTTTTGCTTACTTGATTCCTTTTAAAAAACTTTTAAAGCGGCGTATAAATTTATAGAAATGCATATAAAATTAATTAAACATACCTATTGTGATACTTGACTCTAAAATTCTGGTTATGTCATAACAATCTAATTTATTGAAAATACTCTTTAAAGATTTAAACAATATCAGACGGATAATATAAACACATAGATTACATTAATATTTTATTAACATTTTTATTATTTATGTCACATTATTTTGTTATTAATATTATATCTGAGATAAGATTGGAAATATTTATTTTATTGAGATGTAAGTACAAAATTGATACAGCATATCAATATTTCATGTAAGATTTTTTTAAGTTAAATTTATATTTAATTTTTGAAATAAATAAAAGCATTATATATATTTCGAAAAAAACATATAAAAGAAAATAAAACATTTATTGAAAAAGTATTTTCTGTTTTAAAGTTTGAAGAAACTTTTACAACATTTTGCCAGAAATAAATTTTGAAATAAGAAAGATAAAGTTTGAAAATGTTGTAATCTCATGTAATCAAAATTTATTAGGATATGGCATGAAAACATGTTTGCACGATGAAAAAATACGTCATGAAAAATTTTCTAGTGTGGATTTGCTTAGATTTTTTCATGAGAGTCTGGTAAATATAGAAGAGAAAAAGAGAGAAGAAAGAGAAGTAATAAACAGTTATAGGTCACCAAAATTATTTATTTATCTCAGTGAACACAGATTGTACCACCAGGAAACAAATTCACAACCTCATATCTCGATTAAAATTTCAATTTTTTATGAACTTTATCTAGTGTGCCGGATCAACAGAAATTCTAACTTTTTTTGAATGTTATCGCGACAATTGGCAACCACTATTGAATTTATTGCTGTTGAATATTGTATCTATTAAGGATATCAAATTGGGAATGGATGCGCATAGTTTGTAAAGCAAAAATTATTTAACAGATACATAAAACAATATACGCTGAAAAAAAGTTGTTAACTAGACTAAACCGTTCAACTAAATAACTATTTTGTTAATTGAACATATATTAGTATTTCAGTCAAATATGTTATATTTAATTTAAATATTTTTTACTTTTTTACACGTTCAAGCATTAGAAAATACAAATTAACTGTGAAGCTACTACAGCTTATGTAGACAAAAAAATTTGTTTAAAAACGCGAGAATAATTTTATTTTATCGCATAAGGAAAAAATCAAAATTCACAATGTAATTCTACCATTTTTCGAGTAAATAAATTTTATGTTTCAGGCAGACTATAGACTATATATAACGTTCTGCCGTAACAAAAGGAGTACGATACGATATTTAGACGCATGTCCCGACAATCTCGTCAAAAGAGGTAGAAAGTAACTTATACAAACTGACAGTAGTACAATTTTCTGTATATAACCCAACTGCGGAAGCTTATTATAATAGAAGTACTCGCTATATGCGCGTCAGTATAATTTCAAAGTTTAAAATGGTCCACGATGTAGTGGGGCGGCGCCGTATAGTTGCTGTCGCGTCTTCGTAAAAGCGTCCTGTCAGACATTCTGAGAGAAGCGCGCAATATTCTTTACCCGGGCGACACCGTCGGCCATGCGCGCGGAAAAACGCGAGGATGAGATGAGGTATTCGCTAAAATTGCACGGCTGCCATGGAATATGAATTGTGAGCAACAGGTATATTTATAAGCTTATTTCCACTGATGGCTTACTTACATCCGCGCGAAACATCAAGATTGGCTGTAACACGTGTACAACGTCGCGTCCTCGGAATTAATGCGCGAAGAAAATTAGCGGAACGAATAAATTATTGCACTTATAAGAGTCGCGAAAACATGTCCATATCTTTTTCTTCCGCAAGAACAAGAGAGCTAATCATCGAAATATTACACATTTTTTCGTTCTGAACAAACGCTTGAAATAAAATTATACTATTAATAAATAAAAAGACATTTAATAAATAATAATTACAAGTTATACTGTATAATAATGTTAAAATAGCACTTGCAACAGGTGTACAAAATTACTAACTATGAATTATATCGTAAAGTATATACACCAACACACTATATTCGTTTTTATGCTTAAATTGCTGTTGACGTCTTTCTAAATATGACAATTAGTTTGTAGATTTAATAGTAACGCGTCAGCGTACGACAAGTACATTCACAAGTTAATATTTTTAAGTCGGTATCATTATAGACTTTCTGACGATTTAAGCATCTTAGCAGTAACACCAATCTCGTGTTCAAGACGTTAATGACGACGAATAGCGGAAGTTGCAAGTTATTTGTAGACTCACAGCCGCGAGCCGTTGCACACTCGTGGCGCGTATTGCCCTTCTCCGATATAGATTTCTCCGACATGAATCAAGCGGAATAACGTTGCCCTGATAATTTACTACAGACGTAAATCAGCCCCACATTTGTAAGTAATAAACCATCGTTTATTCATGACGGCTTCTGCACGGGGTAAATTATTTAACGACCTCCGGCCTAGCATCGCGCCATAGCGCATCTTTCTTCCTGGCATATTTATCCGCAAATTTATTCCCGCATGCTGATGAATACTTTGAAATTGAGTCGAAAGTTAATTGTTGACCTAAAGCAACATTCGTTTGATATTGACGGTGTATTTTTAACGGAACGGTATAATAGAAAAATATTATTTGTCGTGAACAAAACTCTTAATCACTAGTGATCAAAGATCTTTCTGAATTCAATATAATTGATATAAAAAAATGAGTAATTTACAAAAACATATATATATATATATATATATAATAACGTAATAATTATAAGTAACAGATAATAAAAAATTTAAAAAAAAATACTTACCTGGCCACCCTCGCCTACCATCATGTCACTCGATGTAGCTTCAGGATCGAAATCGGGTGGCACGACAATCGACAGCATACCTGTCTGAAAAAAAAAACAGATGATTTGTAATTAGTATTAATATAAACGAGAACGGTTAGTGAGACGGAAAGTTTACTTAATTATTGAAGCTATTTTATTTTAATTATATAATATAATAAGTAAAATAACTATAACTTTATATTCCTCCTTTTTTCTCTGTTATTTTATTTTACTGTTGTTACAGATTCGAACTTAAATTATTGACTATAAATATATAATAATTTTTTATCACAAATATTTTATAATATCGTATATTACAATGAAACTATTCAAATGTGAGAACATTACGTCGCGCGATCTATTTACATTTTTTACGATTGGTGAATTTTAATTAACGCATACATATAAATTTTCACAGTGATAACTTGAGAGAGAGAGAGAGATTTTACAAAGCGCATAGAGCTATAATTATATCTAACTTTAATCATATTCTACAAAAACTTAGTACGCGGTTGAAAGAGAGAGAGAGAAATTTTTTTTTCATTAATATAATATGGTATTGCGTGCAAATGTGACTCATCCTATGTTCCGCGTTGATAACAACAAGCGAATCAGAAGTGATGACATATAGCTCACTTTATTTCCCTCGTCGCGGTATATATGACGCTGTCATGGAAATAGTGTTTAAAACAACCGGATTCTCTCGCGCTGGAAGAGTTGAGAGAGACATAAATAAAAATGCGAAATTAATGGAAAACACGTATTTTTTATTCTTCGCAGAGTGCACTTAATTTTTTAAGACTAATTAAATAACTGCACTTGGCAAAAGTCAAGGTAATATTATCGACTCATATGAGATACTGAAATTTTATTTCTGAACATAATATAAGAATGCGCGAAATTATTTTTTTTTTTATTCATTCTACGTCAGTTTTTTTCCCCATTTTTCGTTACATTAGTAGATTACGAAGTACGGATGTAAGGCAGTTGGATAACGCGAGCGTCTCTAAATCTCGAGTGTCTTGCTCCCGATATACTTCAGCCCGACGTTGGGGTAACGTATTATGGTCGTGCAACCTGCTGACGTTGCTGGTGCGGATGTCGGTGTGTATCGCGGGTTATTCGTTAATTAACGGCGCGTGGTAGCGTCAAAACATCATAATCACTAATCGGCATCATCATTCTTGCACGTCCCGACGTTCAATAATCACGCGCGTGAGTTATACGCAAAAATCGTGACTTTTAGCCATAACCCATCCGTTCTATTAGTAGTATTTACTTTTTATTTACTTTCTACTACGAAATACACGATTATTTCCTAATGATTGTAATATTTTTATTTATTTTTAATACACGTATCAAAGTATTATCTGACGAATTACAGCAGAAATTATCGATGAAGTTAAGGGGATGTAAGGATAGATTCAGCTATAAATCTATTTATTGGCTATACGGATTGTTTTTTACCAGAAATTAGAATTATTCGCCCTTTGTTAATATTAATACTTTAATTTGTACAGGAAAAAGACTTATCAATCTGTATATAGTCTTATATATTTTGGCTATAGAATTATGAATTCTAAGATTTCTATAATTAAGATATATGAGACTATACAGATTGATAAGTCTTTCCTGTACAAAATAAAGTATTAATATTAATAAAGGGCGAAGCGTTCTAATTTCGGGTAAAAAAACAATCCGTATTATAGCCAGTAAATAAATTTAGTAAATAATTTAGTAAATAAATTTCAAGGATGTTCAGCATCACCTTAACAGCGAATCTTGATTTTAAGATGTAGTGGAATTTAAATCACGTTATATATATATATATATATATATATATATATATATGTTACGAGAGTTTTACGGCTCCATTGTTCGGAGAGAACACTAAACTAATGCTTGACGCAATAGAAATGCCGGATGTACATCACATTTTCTCGCAAAGTGTAAAATAATCCTTCAGGACAAAGGCGCTACCTTACGCATTCGACTCTTATCAGAGCACGCGCGCTTACGGAGGCGTTATCACGTTATAATTTCCGAGCGAGGTGACAGCAGTAGGAAGCGCGATAGAGAGTCGCGGAGCAGAAGGAGGATCAACCTCGCACATCTCTGTGTTCGGGAGACTTTTGTCGGTCGTATGTCAACCCACGAGGCGTCAGGACGAGTGCAAGGCCTCTCTCTCTCTCTCTCTCTCTCTTTCGCCTCCTGCTGTTCTCCGTCACTTCTCTATATCTTTCCCGCCGTGTTCACTTCTCCTCCTCGATTCTCCTCGTTTCACCTGCGATTTAAAGGAAACTCCACACACGTCGCTCTCTCTCTCTCTCTTGTCTTCGCAAGACGCGGAGGCACGAAGTGTACGCGCAATTACGAGGATGTAATCCACGCCACGACGAAACTTCAATCGTTATAACCGAGTTGTCTGGCAAGCCGCCGCTGTAGAAACAGCCCTCTCGACGAATGCAAACTGCGTACCTACCTACCCTATCACAGCAATGGCAATGACGAGACACGTGCTCGAGCGCGTAAACTCATACGTGTTGCCGTTGAATTGTGCGAAATTACTTTATTCTTTCGCACTCGCGCGAATTGTAAATTAATTATTACGCCTGGGGATCAATGTATTAGCAATCGTGACTGAGTCTGATCGAATATCTGTTTTTAGAGTCAGTAATAATTAATTAATTAAATTTGAGTTGTTTACATTTCTCTTTTAATATTATAAATAATAACCCAATTTTTTGAAGCTAGTTTGTTTTTAATCTACATCAATAAATAAGCAAAATAAGTCTTTATGGCACTTCTCATTAAGAAAATATAGGAGCGTCATAAAAATATACAAAGACAAATATAAGGGGAGTTTAGTAAATCAATATTGTAAATGGGATATCAATTATGGTTAATGTGGAAGATCATTTTGTCTTACAAAGTGTATCAGAGGGTAAACACTTTCGCGCAAACAACACGCCCGTTGAGACCCATTATCGCTTGTTAGCCAGATTCGCATTATAGGATTAATTTGTAAGTATGCGCGCAATTTCTCTCAGCGTAATCGCGAACATACGTATATAACTATGAGAACATTATTTCCTAATAACTAATTGTATCGTTGAACGAAACCAAAATAATTCTGCTCTCTTGTATTTGTAAAATATTCTGCATACTGAAGTATTATAAAAAAAAAGAGTTATAGATATCGTGTTTGCTTCAAATTGTATTAATTGATTGAAATATTAAATTCGTATCTCTGTTGTCCCTGTCATAATCTATCAAGATAGATGATTCATTATGGGTAAAATAAAAATTGACAATGAATGAAGAGATTATATGTACAATCATAGTTAAACAATTGTCACATAATAATTAATCAGAAAATGTTATCATAATTGTGATGGAGAACGAAATTATTTTAGTTAATCGTAATAATTCTTAATTAATAAATAAAATTTTCAAGTGGTACGGACAAGATTTACGACTCACGTTGACATTATTACAAAAACTGTAGAAGACCTTTACAAGGGATATATGGTAGTTTCGCGAGATTCGATTTAATTATTCGATTAAATCAGTGCGTTTCGCGTCGCGTCAGAATTATGCAGATAACCCCGAAGAAGTGACGCGAAATTTCAAGAAAGACGACGCACAAGTCGACGCGCAAGCCGACGTCTCTACGTACGTACACGTAAATTTTATCAGACACGCAGTCGGAATTATAAGCGACGCGCGAAGGGCGATGCCATATATTCGGCAACGAGCGAGGAAACATAGTTACGAGAGGCGAGACTCTGCATCCTTCGTGGAGTACGAGACTCTATCGTGTTTTAACTGTTGCTATACATATATATACATACATGCGCGAATGAGGCAGAAAAGAGAAAGGAACGAGGATCTGATAGTGGGAAAGTCAAATTTACGGAGGAAAAATTTATTCGTGCAGAAGACAATTCATTATTTCGACGGACGGCTGATTTTTAACGATTTAATAAGCGTGCACGGGAAAAGCTTCATGTTATAAATTTTCGAGAATTTTTTAAAATTATATTAGAAAATGTGCGATAATAGTAAAATATGTGACATGTATATTTTTTTACTTATATATCTATCTTCGCACGTTGTTTTTGTGATTTTACATACGTCATTTTTTTTTTAAATTATCTTTTGATTTGTTTTCAATCGAATTGCAGATTTGTTCTGACAAATCACTGGTCTGACTACTTGCGGTAAAACTTGTTTAATTTAGAAGATAAAGATGCAAAAAAGGCACCTATACATGGAAGAAAGAATATATGACGCGATGTAAATAAGAACCAGTATATTATAAAATAATAATTATAGAGAGTTCAGTCAAAAGATTTCACATTTGTTCACAGAACCTCTATATCTTGAAAAAGATGTTATTTATATTATATTTTGTTCCCCTTGCGCAACCCTTATTTTCATGCTATATTTACTTTTTTCATAAATTCTTCCGATCGATTTGCCACGACACTATCAATCTTGTTCAGCAAAGTGCTCATTATTTAGCTTGGTATTTCGTAAAACAAAAGCGACAAGGGAGCGACTGACGAGCAGGACACCTTGCCCGCAACCGTGTCGCGTGTTACGTTCCGTGCACTATTTAAGATTACGGCTTTCTTCCTTCGCGAAAAGAGGGAAACTGCGACTAGCGAGGGAAGAGCTCGCGCGAATTCAATCCGAAATGTCGGAAAATTAGATCTCGGCTCGACTTCCAGCGGTGTCTCGCGCCGTATCACTTTGCCGGCAAGAGCCAAGTGTTACTTTAAGGCAACCAGACAACCACCGCGGCGGTCTCGACTCCGATCTCAGAAGAGAGACAAGGCAAATGTTATCCGAGGGTAGAAAGGACGAACGGAGAACTTACGGGCCGCTTAACTAAATTGGCTCGTTAAGTGTCTCCCTCTCTCTCTCTCTTGTATCGCGAGAAAAATTTCTCACGCTCGTAAAGCGACATTTTCGCGCACGCCTAATTGCTGTCTAAGTTAAATTTAAGCGCCGTGCATTTAAAGGGACGAGCGCACGAATTTTGAGTACTTGTTTACTTGATTGTTCGTAGTTATTCGATTATTCGAACGAATTTGTTGTGTGCGCGAGCGCGGAAAATATACAAACGTGTAGCTTCGTTTAATCCCACAGACTCTCTCCATTGATATTTTTCACCGTTCGAAAGTCGATTTTATGCGCTGTATTTTTTTTATCAGCAATTACTACGCCGGCCGCGTGTAACAATTGTTTCACGCGATTTAATATTCCGATATCCTTTTCTAATAAAATATATACACGCAACCATATACATAAACAGGGTATTTTAAAACCGGCGAAAAAGTTTTTAATGACAGATTCTTGATATCATTTGGAGACGATTTTTTCTTGGTGAAAATATTGAGGAAGGCCATCATTTTTAACATGTTCCTAATTTATGCTATTATGTATCTTGATAATTAAGCCTTATATTAAACTGCTATTAAAGCAAACTCTATACCTAAAATTAATTGAAGAATGTACTTCTGTTAATATTTTATTTCCACAAGGCTTAGATTCCAAAGAAGCCTTTATTTTCAACTGCTCATAATTCAAAATTCATTGGCGTCTCGACATTTTCGCCAGTTGTAAAACACCCTGTATATTATACGAGGGTGTTTTTTTGAAAGACCCTAGTATATTATATTCGGAGGGATGTGCAGGATTTAAGCGATGCTCGCGTTATTCATAAATGGATATTAGTGTTCCCGAACTGGCGAAGACGGCTCGTTAAGTTCCCGGGCTCGTTAAGTATGTCGCGGATCTGCCAGCCACGTGCACGCGAAATGCTTTCGATACTTGTACAGATTGTTATGTCGGCGGCAGAGCTAATACTCTCTCGTGGCAGAGCTCTCGGCGATAATACCGCCGCAGTTTGTGTGCTATCGCGCGTCACCGACGACGATTAGGCGACGGAAAGTATGGGGATGTGTAAACGAGGTTGCAGCGACTGTTGCTGCCTCTAATCGAGAGCGCTTTAGTTTCTCTCTCCAACATATATACGCAATTCTCTCTCTCTCTCTTCTTCCGTTCTTCCCTCTCTCATCATTTACGTCGCCCGAAGGTTTCGCCGGGAATATAATGAATGCGATGATAAATGCGATGTTTATCATAAACATAGAGTAAATCAATAATGTTATTAAACGAAAATTATATTTAATTATCATTAATTATTGTATTACTAATGTCGATGCGGTAGCTTGCATGGTTTGAAATTTTCAGCTTATTGATCATCAAATTCAATATTCTCTGTAAGTTTCATTTCGGATTTCTGAATTTTGAACCTCTTCTTTTATTTTGGTGGGAATATTCTCTCGCTACTTGGAAGTAAAAAATGAGATATTTCATATTGCGGATAAGGACTTAGTAAGGATTTCCGAAGGGTCTTCTAGGTTTCTAATGCGAATGCGATTGCGCACGTATTACAACCCCTGGATTATGTTAATGATAGTTAGCAAACTGAGACCGGGGTGATTAATTGCGTGAACCAAGTGAGACGTGGTCCGATTGTAACTGAGTAACTATCGATTAACTCATGCGCATCTTGGCACTTTGTCGATGTGGGCATTATTGGCACCGAATCGCTCGATTAATTGTTTTGTTGGGCAACTTATCGCAATCGATTTCCGCGATGTTCGCCGCGTTGCAGAAAAGCTCATTTGACGAAATATCTGCTCCTATTTTATTTTACTATCTCTTACTTATTAGCCAGAAACATAAAACTGAGTCTAAAAAAGTTGAGGAAATATTATTTTTGTATTCGAATTTCAGCTAAGTAACTTAATCGATTTAAAATATAAGAAGTATTTATATAAATAGAAATACAGAAAGACTTTTGATATGTATATATATATATATATATATATATCTTTAAACAAAATCTTTACATAGATATATAATTTTTATTTGCTGACTTTATGGACAGATCATTTTAATATGACATGCAAATTTACCATTTTTTCTTGGAAGTTATTCTGAAAAATACAGGAAACGTTAAAGATACGAAATACATTCAGTGATTCTTTTATAGAATCTCTATCGAAAAACCATCGTCTTTCGTGAAGTTCAAACTGGAGCGAAAGAAATCGTATTCCTTTTAAAGCCGATTGTCGCGGAATAGCATAGAATATTTACGCACGAGGACATATTATTATCGTTTCTTATGACGTATTTTATTGGTGATGTACGTAGTAATATTACGATAAGTCACTTCGATTTGACTTATTCTATTTTATGACTTCTTTCATGAAATAAAAGTTGATAAATTGGTATCAAATTTTTATCGAATATATGACAAAGTTTTGTCAATTTACACGTGATTGAAATAATATATATTTTTGGTGTATTTAATATTAGAAAATGAACTAGAAACGATATAAATATGCAAAATATTGGAATGTTTTTTATTACATAAAAATTTTGTTATTTGTGTGTTATCGTCAACATTTACTTATTTGGAATGTCCACAGAATGTATTTCATAATTAATGAATATTTTCTTTTACTGAAATAAAGTTAAAAAATTTACTTTATCCAAATTCATTAAACTTAATTTGGATGAAGTAAATGTCTTAACTTTATTTCAGTAAAGAATTATATATGTATATAATGTATTTATTTCGAGAGCTAATAAAAATATTCTTAATATTAATCTAATTTAGTTTGTAATTAATAGAATCACTCTTTTAAGTTTATGTAATTAAACAAATTCAAATTTGCATGAGCAACGTGAAATGTTTATAAGATCTTATATGTTTAATATATACATTTACACATGTATATAGCCATCAAATAAAATGTGTAATAAAATATGTGGCTAAATATAATATGAGAGACAAATGTGTGTGCCACATCGGAATTGTATGACCTTTTGACCATTGACGAATGTGTCCGCATGCTTTATCGACCTAAATACAGTCGTCGATAGGGTCGTTCCAATTAGTTATTTCACCGAGTTTGTTGGTTTGCCACGACTAATTTCAAACAAGAGCTATGCGTTTTCGAGTTTACTATATTGGGACAACATATTGAGATCAATAGTAATAAAATATAGATGTATGTATTAAAAGTATTGGAACTTATTAATTTTACTTATTAATTAAAGAGAAAGGGCGGATTTTATTTTAGATTTTAAATTTAAAAAATATAATATAAAAATATATAATAAATTTATTATAATTTAAATTTTTATATATTTTAAAATAACTATGCGCGAATAAGTGAAAATGGAATCTGTCATTTCTTAAAGACTTTTAAAAACTCGACGGTATCATTCTGGTAAGATAATCATAGGAGAAACGTAATTACCGGAAATGCTCGAAACGACAAATACACTATCGTTTCCGCGCCTAAGTAAATTCCGCGCGTTTCTAAAACTGCGGCAAACTGCTATTAGAAGCTCTCTCTCTCTTTCTCTCTCTCTCTCGGAACTTCCTAACGATACTTCCGTCACCGCAGTGTCGTCACGAAAGATTCTTCGTGAAACTTGCGTCTCGTTAGATTTACCCGCTGGCCAATATTAACGACGACGGAAGTAAAGGCGCGGTATGCCAGAAACGGACATTGCTCCCGAGATTCGAATAAACGGCGCAAACTTTGTAATTGAAGCGGGGAAAAGCTCGTGACGGAACCGGCTGGTTCACGTGATGCATCAGCAGCGCGAATAAATTGGTACAGTATTATTCATCGGTATGAGCATCCGCAAGGGAAAGAGCATTTGCCTCCCTCCCCTTCCTTGGAATTGGTAAAAAAATTGAACATTCGCTCTCCTGAATAAACCCTGGAATTTATTTGTATATTTATAATATAAAAAAATAAAAATAAAATAAGAAAAAAATAAATGTCAAAAAATTAAGAAAGAAAAATTTTGCTCCCTCTGGAAAAAATCTTTGGAATCAGGAAAAAATTAAGAATTTGTTCTCCTTTTGAATAAATACCGGAATTGATTTAATATTAAGAAATAAAAATAACAAAATGAGAAAAAAAATTTAATTCAAAAAGTTAAGAAAGGACAAAAAAAATAAGAAAAATAAAAAATTTTAATAATGCACCCCTCCCTGGAAAAAATCCTGCGGACGTCCATGTTCGTCGAATGATTTTAAAATATTAAATGCATTTAATCATGACTGTCATCTGTGCAAAATTAAAATATATAAATAATTTAAAAATCGACTCTGCACTATATATAATCAGAATTTTATACATACCTGACTCTTCATGGGATCCGTATTGATCTGACACATGTAAAGACCGCCGTCCTCTTTCTGAACGCCCTTGATGTGAAGATTCCACATACTGTGGTCGCTATGGGACACGGATATCCTCTGGTTGTGCGTGATCACGTGATCGTGTATCGCCTGAATCGCCTTCGTGTCCGCCTTTACCCAACCGACCTGGAACATCAATCGCCAGAAATCGAGATCTTAATAGGGGTGACGAGAGATAGATTGATAGGTGGAGTGAAATATATAGAGAGAGTCGCGCGCTACCGGAAATCGCGGTGACGGGCGTCACGAATTTCGTCGAAGACGCCGCAATTTCCTCACAGGCATCCGGCTGCGGAATACAAACAGATGTGGGGGAGCCTATCCTGAGGTGTGCAAGCATGCAGACGTATATATACACATACACACACACACACACACACACACACACAGAGAGACACTCGCGTACGTGGATTGACACGCGCGATTCCCCTTGGCCAAACTTTCAGCGATATTTGCATTTTCCTTAGAATATTCGGAATCCCAAAGCGAGAAGCTGTCGCGATTTCACGCGACCGAGTAAGTGAACGCACGTACGCACATGTACTCACACATAGCACCGTGGTTACACCGACCACCATGGTTACACCACGTATGCGCGTATTCTCGAACTAGTAATAGAAAATCGGAATACCACCATGCAACTTTCTCTCTCTCTCTTTCTCATTATTCTCACGTGTGTATTCTCGCGATAGCGCAAACATTCTATCGACAAGAAGGGTATCGATGATCTTCGTGTCTCTGGAACAGGAGAGATCCAATGATATTCGCGTCTTTGAAATGACAAAAGCGACTTCTTCATAATCTTCTCGGTTTTTGTGTCTATGAAAAAAATGTGCATATCTATGTATTATATATTTTTTCTTTTACGTTAGTATAAAGAAATTGATCTCGATTTCATTTGTATACAAAAGGAATAACAGCAAACTTGACGCTTTCCGCTTTACAGAAGACTCCGCCGACTTTAATCATAACTATCAAAGCGCTTCTTGAATAGATATTGCAATTGTTCAATATAGAATCGTTTAAAAAAAAGCATCAGTAAAATGGTTCGCTTGTGAGTCAGTCATTCTTTCGATTTGACTTTTAAATTCTCTCAGAAAGTGGACTATAAATGGAGAGACCATCTTTTGACTACGTCTGGTAACGACGGATCTCTAGCACATCGCAGTTGTACTTCACATAAATTTAATTATCATGATTCTCCGCTTGGAATTGCTTTAATTTGACCGACACGAGGCGTTGACATTTATTTGCATATAATCGATGCTCTCGTTGTACCGCGCGATTAAATTAACGGTATAATAATAATAATAATAATAACAATCTGTGACGTGCAATAAGGCTGGAAACCGAGAGAGAAAGAGATTTGGTTGAATATTAATTTGAAAATAGAAGTTCGTATATATTATACCCATATTAATATTTCGCTTCTACTTTACTGATTTGCCGATAAAGACTCATCGGTTTGGTGTAAAATGTAATCAAATTTTCTAATCTGTAAGTTTGAGTTTCTATATACAGTTTTCGTCAAACGTTAGATAGAGCGAGTTTTAAATGTCTGACCGACTGCGAGCAAAATTATGGATCGAAGCAATTGATTATACTAATTATGATAGTATTGGTTAATAAATGCGTGAAGAAAAGGCGATAATGCGTGAAAAAGATAATCTCACGATATAAAAAGCTAAAAATATTATTAAATTCCATTGTCGCGTAAAAACGCGAACTTGCTAGTAGTAATGATAAATGGTAAGTCAGACTATTTCGCTATAAAATGCGCGTGCAAGATCGATAGCGCGATATGTATTAGATTAGCTTTATAAAAAGATTTCGTTAATACGTTTTTGGGAAAAAACGTCGTTCGTAGCTTCTTATATATACGCACGTGTATCGATAAAAGTTCTTGGTCTGAAAGTAGAAGTCGGGCAAAGTGAGCAGAGAAATTCTTCTCGAGTTCCTTAAGTGAGAATTTTGTAGATATCAAGATCGACTTATACGGCCATGAAAATTGTACAGATGGGATTATTCAACGCGTTAAATGTATTTTCCATGTACGTGTCCTGTCGAATGTACTTTTTTCATATATAGCTCAGCTTTTTTTTCGCTTAGAAGAAGATAAAAAGACTAATTTTCAGATTTATAAAATTTTACAATTATACAAATAATTGTTTGTGACAAATATTAACGAATAATTAATATGTAATAATCTTTGTCGTCATATTATTTTTTTTTTATTTCGTTTGTACATTTGTCAGATTTTTGTGTTAAGTTATCGGACTATAGCAGTATATATAAGCCGCGAAAGTTTATGGTAGCAGGTATGATTTTTTAAAGGCGCATCCTTTCAAAAGTTAAGCGAAACCCCAAGAAGTTAAGTGAGCGTTACGACATCACAGGCACGCCGTCGCTTTTCATGCAACTTACCCTGTAACCTCCTAGATGTTTCACCAGACACGTGAAAGTGGCGTCTCTCCCCAGTGGCACGGTTAGATTGGTGATAGGACCGGAGAATTCGGGTTGAAAAGCGCCTCCTGAAACGATAAAATATACGTACGACGTTCGTGAAAAATACATACGCCATTTGCATAGCGCATCGCTGGCAATTTTTCGACAGTGACGTCGAATTCGCCGTCGCGTCGCGCAGAATGCACTTTATGAAAAGCGAATAAACGTCACAAGGTGGAACGGTACGCGACTTGGCGAAACGTGGAGATGCGTTTCGCGACTCGCAAATTAAATGCATATAGACGTGTGACGTCGAATTAGCGAGAATCGCTGTCATATAGTTTTAAGCAAACTTCTATATACATACACGTGATTAATATTGACATCTGACAGACATTTTCTTCACATCTTTATTTTTGCTTATATACTTTTGATAACTATATTTACGAAAGATTTAATAATTAATATCTTTGACTTACTTTTCAACAAAACAAATTTTTTTATTAGAAATATAAAGTATTTAAGTAATTGTTACGAAAAAATTTAATATATGTTTTAATATATAAATCATTAAAATAAAAATGCTTGTTTGCAATTCTATCTTGCTCAAAAGTAATTAAAATTTTATGATTTTTTAAAGCACTGTTGCAAATAAATTAAAACATAATTACAAAAATAATTCCAATAAATATGATTTAATTTGTGAAAGCATAATTTATGTTGTAAAAAACATATTCTTTCTAAAATAAAATAATTTGTGCGGCGCACGTAATGATAAATATTGCATACACGATCACAGCGTTTAATGCATCAAATATATGTATAGTGTATATGTTTCTATTTGCATTTTTATATTTTTTATGTATTATATTTTTATTTTTAAAATAAATGATTTTTATATGTTTTTTTTATAAATTATTTGATAGGTGTATATACTAATATATGGCTATACAACAATGGCAATCGTTCGATATGATGATGGATTGACAGTCGCATACTAATTGTGAGTATGTAACCCTACTCGTATTTTTTGGCACAGAGTCGACCGTAATAAATTGTTAAATGAGTATTTAAGCGTGTATGTGCGCGTATATGTAAATATCTACTTAAGCGGAACTCTTCCGGGCTTTGTTTATTAACAAATAAATTTTTTTCCGCCAGAAATAATCTAACATAAGATAAAATGCGGGAGAAATATGATGCGTAACGTATAAATCGCTTCGATGGCAAAATAGAAATTGAAGATGCTCGGGTCTATCATACCCTCCAGTTTGTCAACTTCCGCATTCCATTTGCTCTCGCGCGGCGCGTTTCTGCCCGGAATAATTTATTGCCGAATATATGTCGCGTCTAAACGCACCGCAAGCGTAACGTCGGATGATTTTTCCTGACTGTCGACAAACTAAATACCGTTCGACGACTCGCGTCGGGCGAATTGAATTAATATTGCGATTGGCGGAGCTTAAATATATCGCGCGCGTCGAGATGATTATCTGGTAGTTTGCAGGATAATGACGTAGACGTTGATTGAATCGATCACTCTGGAGAGAAGCGAGTCGGCGCGGTGAAGAGACATTCTCAAATGCAATTTTCCTCTGAAAATAGAGCCCCTCCTTGAACGAAATAAGAATCGACTTTACAAAACTATTGTTTCTATAATACATTTTCTTCGCGATCTTCAAATAACAAGCTGTTTCGGTTTTTGAATTCGCGTGCCTAGAAATATCAATGGAAAATGTGTATCACATTCGATGGTTCTCATCGAATAGTGCGAAATAGATGTGTATGCGGGCGCGATATTTTTCGTATGAATTTTTGCTAAAAATAGCTGGCAGCGCGGCGTACAGCGGATAAACAGGACAATGATACTTTTGCAGAAATTTCTGTCCCAGCTGCTGCATAAGCTACTCGATTTAGAGGTTTTTATATCCTGCAATATGCGAGGTTTGTACCTGCGTAGCTTGATATCATGAAAATGCAACAATATTTACCTGCTAATTGAATAAAAGAAATATTCTGTGCACGCGTTGTATAGCAGGAACTTATTTATTGCGTTCATTTACAAAATTAATGAAATTTTTTAGCGAGTTTACTTAATTAAGTATTTCTATTTTAATGAAAATATATATATATATAAATCTTGGGTTTCCCATTTTTCATTGTCAGGGAATAATTACAATAAATATCGATTGCGACTTTATCGCCGCCAAGGAGAAATGTGGCAATTTATTAATTACTAATCTTGCGTGAAGGAGAAATCTGCGATATTAAATTACGATAATTAACTTATTCATACTTGGTTGTTATAAACAAAGTTTTTCATTTTAAGTGAATGAGATCGTACACAATTGTTCGCTGAATTTAGATAAAAATCATTTTTTAAAGTCAAATTTTTCTAAAATTAAATTCTTTTTCAAATTGTTTTTGAAATTTATTGACACGGGACAGTGAATTATATAAAATTAATTAGAATACAACAAATGTATGAATTGAAACAATTTCGTTCATATATATAATTCGAGTTATTAATTTTCAATTATCTCATTTCTCGTTATACCGTGCGCAACGATATGTTTGAATGAAATTTGTAATTGTGATAAAAGATCTTTAATTCTATTGGATATTTCAAAATCCATTAAAAAATGATGTATCGAAAATGAGTTGGTCAAACTTGCTATGAAATAATTTTGATTGACATTTATCTTGAAGCATTAGTTATGATCTATGAATGTTTTATTAGATTTATTTAGTTAATATTTCTTAGCATAAATTATATATGCTTATCTGAAACCTAGCTTTTATTTTAAATATATCTCTCTATTTCTCTGTCTCATTCTCTTTCGTTTGTTCAATAATTGGTTCTTGTAACAAAAACATTATACACATAATTGGATATATAGGTTAAACAATTTTAATTTCTCTTTTTATAAAGTGATTTTTAAATTTAGAGCAGTTAATTTTTTATCGTTATTTGATATAAATGTATTATTATATTATTTATAATCAGTGCAATTTAAATGATAAACAATTATGAACGAATTATAAAACAGAGTAGTTGTATAACATCATGTAGATAAAAGAAAATTCTCAAGATAGGAAAATTTTGTTAAAAGAATGCGACACGGTACGGAGAAGGAAATATGTAATGGTAAAGGAGTTAGCAATAAATCTAAGAAGAAGAGACAAGCTTGACCTATTTATCTTATAAGAGATAATAGAATCAAAAAGTATTTTAAAAAGAGTGAAAGCGACAATCGTAGTGAATAGCTTAACATTCTACTTTCAGTTGATAGTAGAGATAATAACACTATGTTAACAGTTAAAATATAAGTCTCCGAGATATATATATATGTATATACATAAACCGAGTCCCACTCATTTATTACGTGAAAGTAATGTTCGTAATTAAGGCACCACGTATAGCGTAATGTATACGATTTTAATTATTTTGTGAAAAGAATTTTTTTTCTTGAAAAATTGTTATGCAAAATATTACATTTAGATTTCATTACGAATTTGTATAATTATTAAGTCTATCAGACCCTTCGTATTATAAGAAAATAATCAAAGGCTTAAGAAAATTTTAAAGTTGAAGTACATTTCTACAAACCGATGAACAAAAACTAAAAAAAAATATATATATTTTTATTTCGCGAATTTTCAATCCTTTAATTAATCGAATGAAAATTATGAAGGTGATTTCAAGATGTCGGCGCGCAAAAATTGACAGTAGCCCATCCGCATTTTATCAATATTAAAAAGTTTCACTGGCATAAATTACTTACGCGCGTCGTACTCGTCAACGTTGCAACAGCAAGTACACGAGAGGTTTTCCATCCGGAAACTTTCTTGAAAATTGGCGAGTGGCTTATTATCGAACTTCCGTCGGGAAAGTAAGTTGTTATGGATATTAAATATCGTAAAATTCTTCGCGGCGCTGTAATGTAATCGAATTAATAGCTTTCGTTGCTCGACATACACAATCCTTTCCTCATAACAGCAGTTTACTCGTAAACTCTTTATTGTTGTTTCGCGATAATTCGAGCAATTTCACGCCGAGTCCTTTCATTATCCGAGGACCGCTTTTTGCCTTAATAGCGACATTATAGCGACAGCTTTCACTTTGGAGAATCTCATACGGAGCTTTTATTCATTTTTCCATTCATATTCCTGTAAATAAATTCTTTATTTTTCGACATTAATAGTGATATTTTATTTCGTTAAAATTCGCGACAGGAAAAAAATAAAATGTGTTTCTTTCACATAGATATGCTAATGTTTTCGTTAAAAAACACTCCGTAGTTAAATAAAATAACAGCAAACCCACGCGTGTGCAATGTTTACTATAAAATGTGTGGGACTAGAGAGACAGAGAGAGAGAAAGAGACACTGGTTGACGAAACATTGGAAAATAAACAATTGACGGCAGATAAAGAAAAATAAACTATCGATTACTAGGGCGATTTGAACAATTTATCTCATAAACGGCATCGCGCTGCGCAATTATTTACTCTTTATTGGTCAAGCGTTATTTGACAATAATTTTGCACATGATTTCGTGCATTTGCACATCGAACAATCCAAAAGCGTATTTGATGAAATTCAAGCAGCACTAATAATTACTTGGAAAAGCATATATTTATTGATTATTAATTATTAGTTAATGCTTTATCAAATGTAATATGACAACGACTTTCAAGTTTTTAAATATATAGCATTTCTCATTATTATTTTTATACTCTTTATTTTATTTTATTAATCATAAAAAAACTATTATTATTTTTTTTTTGTTAAGAACATCGATATTATTTCCCTAACATATCCTTAATGTACAATGTTAATTTTTTTATTAATTATGATACGATGTATAAAATATGAAAAGACTGTTGAGTAAAATATGTAATTAGATTATTAATTTAATCAATAACATTTATAACACACAATTTTTAATTTTATAAGACATTTACGAAACTGATTATTAAGCAAAATTTTCATCTCTCTTTTTCTTAAACTTGTATCACAAATATATAATAAGTATATCCAAGTATGATAAATCTATTTTCCCCGGAATTATCCATGCGCCGGA